GCCCAGAACCCAGAAGGAGCCCCTCTTGGAGGAAAGAGCCACGGGAGCTGTCTCTGCTCCCGCAGACCAAGGAAAAGGTGGGGCTTCGATCAGGAGGAGAGACAACACTGTGCTTTAGTGAGTCCCCAGATTATTAGAAACGCTTCACGGAGGGTCTCTATAGCTGCGAGGGACTCGGAACTACACCCTGGCCCTCAGACGCCTGGAGGAAGAGGAGCAAAAGCTTAGAAGGTGGGGTTGTGGGATTAAGGTTAGCTACCATTGCCAGATGGACTCATGTCTTGTTGGGGAGACCACTTCATAGTCGGTGTAGAGGCCTGACCACCGCACTGTATTTCTGAAGCTGATGTTGAATAATATTGTATGTCAACTATAATTATACGTACATATAGTCACAGGACATGGAGTACAGTGTGGAAATGGAGTCAATGGAATTGTAATAGATAAGCATGATATCGGGGGTGGGAGGGCAGTAGATGGGGGGAGGGGGGGTGTTACTTTGTGAGGGTGAAAAGGATAACTATTGCATTGTTCTGTATACCTGAAACTAGCAATAAAAAATAAAATAAAATAAAATAAAAAAATAGTTAGCTACCATTTTCAGGGCTATGTTCCCAGGAAATGGCTTAAGAATTATGCTTTATCCAATGTAGGCAGTGTAGCTTATGATAAAATCACAAATTCATTTTAATAGCTCTCATTTATCATTAAAATCCAGCTGGAATTCATATATTGGCAAAAGTAGGTTTTTAAAAGATGAGACTCTAGATATTTCTCTTTGAATACAATTTAACCTTAAGAAAAACAATCCCGGCCTTAAAATACACCTTTTAACTAAATACCACTCTTTAATATTCATGTACTTGCGACCAAATGAATCCAGTCCATACACCTGACATCTGTTTAGTGTAACAGGAGATTATTAAAGCCAGGTTAGAAATAGGAAGGTGTTTATAAGATTATCTGCCATCCCTGTATTGGAAAGTCTGGGCACCTGATGACTCTACATATTTGCTGGAGCGGAATGATGCGCAGGTCCTGTGGAGCCCATTACTGCCTCCACTTTAGTTAAATAATCCTCAGTCTCATCAAGATCATCAAACTGATTCTAAGCAAGTGTGACAATGTGAAGCAGTTCCAACGAACACAGTCAATTTCCTACCTTGAAAGTGCTTCCTTGTGCTATAAGGACAATGGTTAAAAAAATAAAACTTCAAGAAAGACTCTCCAAGAAAGCAACTCAGAATATGCATAGTTATCTCTTTACCACAATCCTCAGTGATCACAAAAGATCAGAGGTTGCCCCAGGGTTTTCCTGTGAGGCTTACACTCTAATTGGAAAGACAGTCATGCATGCTTGGAGAAGAAGCAAGAACATGTATGCTTATCAGTCACCTGGTACATTCCAGGCTGTGGTAGTACAAGTATCTCATTTAATTTTGCAGCAGTTTTATGAGGTGATTGTTAAAAATCTGAATTTACAGGTGAGGAAGTTGACACCAAAGAGATCACAGAGTAAAGCTAAGACCTCAAGCCAAGTCCATATAATTTCAAAACCTATTCTCTGAAAAAGTCCTACACATGGTAGTACATGATGATATAGAACGTACTGTCACATCACAAATCTAGCATTACCGAAAAAAAAAAAAAAGGATGTTCTACATAACATGAGGTATTCAATGTAATTGAATCCTACCGCCAATGCTGATTGGTTTGGCATTTAAATCTGATTTCAAGTGGGAAAGCAGAAGTTATGTTTGTGAAAATTATATGTTAATATTATTCTGAGTGAGAATCTAAGGGGCTGACCTAAAATTAATTCAGTAAATTTTATTTACTTTTATTTCTATCTTAGTCCTGGATAGTTGAGATTGCTGGATATGTTTCAACCTACAATGTAATTGCTGAGGAAATTTAAAAAAAAAAAAAAAGAGGAAAGTGGTTTTTATGAGTGGAACTAGTTATATGTTTCATAGCGACTGTTCAAACTTTGAGCTGGTTCATATTTATAGGCATGAAGATGAGAGTGTTCCAAATGCCTTCCTGCCAATAAATATTTTGTTTACAAAATACCTGAAATTACAAAGATGCAGGTTTGGGCAAGAGCAAACAAAAACACTGAAACAAAATGGGCAAGGGCATGGAAAATTTAATGCTAATCCTTGATCCTTCGTGCATCTCCATGGCTTATGGTTTTATTCTCCTAATCATCCTCTGAGGTTTTTAGCAACAAACATCATAAATGCTCATAAAACTATGCAGCTCTGTTAAAGCTGGGCACAGCACCTGGCTCAGTGGCCTTCCAAAGCAAAATTCTAGGCACTGACGACACATACTAAGCAAAGTAGTATTTCGTCTTGCTCATTCTAAATTTACCTCCCATGAATTTCATTCCACATCTCCTTCCCCAATGTCAAGCGAAAAGAGGACACTCAGGTTTCAGAAAAATAGCTTAGACCATTTAAATCAGTACCCCCTAGATTCTTCCCTTTTCTTTGCCAGGGTACCCTGGAGTTTTATGCTCTCTTTTAGTAACTACTCTTCTCTGGCACCATTTGAGTGTTGGGCTTGCTACCACCTGAGTGATAATTGACACACCACAATGCCAGGGGATACAGCAATGAAGACTAAGAGACTAGTTGACATCATAAAGTTCTTAAAGAAAGGGCTGATGAGTGTTTATTTTGATGTGCCCACGGTGTCAAACACATCTCCCTCACGGTAGAGCAAGGGGAGAGCTGAAAGATAATACTTACCTACATATATGCCACTGCACACATCTCTACCATCATCCTGTATTAATATCCCCATTTCTGTTGATGGGGAAACTGAGTGAGTTGCCTAAGATCATGCAGTTAGTAAACGGCAGAGCTGCGATATGAATTCACGTCGGTCTGATGTTTAATTTCACCATGTGATTTCCCAACCATATTCATTACCAGATACATTATTTGTAGAATGTGATCTCTGTGGGGTTATCACCTCCCTAGTTCTATCCAGCCTCAAGAGGAAAAGGCCTGCAGCCCAGTAAACCTGTAATTCACAAATAGCAGAATGGCCACTGGAATGCCACATATTATGGTCAATCACTTCATGCCTAATTAGTGTCTAGTTAAGAGGTGAAAATTAAAGTGCATACAGTAGTAGTCTTTGTTAATAGTAACGATGCTTTGAAGACTGAGTTGATACTTTCATTTTTGTTATCACTGTAGAAAAATAGTAAATAAAGGCAGCAGGTAAGATGGCGAAATGAGAGGTGGACAGACGAGAATTAAGGGACAATAATCCCTTGGTTTTGTTTATGGCTAACATGACCTTCAAAGGCAGCTTTACCTGAGTGGCATTTTTAACATTTACCCTTATTTTCCTTATAATCATGTTCATAACATTTTTACAATTTTATGGTACTATCTGTTTGAAGCATTTTAGAATGTTCAAGTTCAATGTCACCTAAGTCTTCCAACAGAGAAGCACTAGGCCTCTGCTTGAACATTCTCAGTATCAGGGGATTTACTACTGATAAGAAAATACATTCTTACCTTTACCTTCAATCAAAAATCTGCATTCCTACAGCTATCTTGAAATTATTCGGTAAGCATATCTGAAAGAATTATGTGGCAACATACATTCCTAGGCAAGTTCTTCGGATACTAGAAAAGTCTTCAGTGTTTATCAGCATTTCTGGGTAAGAGATCTGGTGATACATGCTATGACAGAGCTAGGTAATATCCTATTTGTGTCACTAAACGTGTGCACACAATTTTGGTACTTTTTCATAATTTTTCAGTTTTTAAAATTTAAAACAAATATGCATTTCATAAAAAAAATAGTTTAACTTTGTAAAAAATGATCACTTAACTAACACGGTGCCTAGTTGCATTAGAATATGAAGTTCTTACTTGTCCCAGCACATGATAAATGAGTGAGGTGCCCCTACAAGCGTCTCATTGAGACCTGAATATACCATAACAGCAACCCCAGATTTCAGCGTCACTTCTCATCCACCCAGGCCCAGCGCACCACGAGCGAGCTATTCTCCAACCTACCTGTGCTGACAAGTCACTTGGAGTGCTATTTAAAAGGCCCTTGTGAGCAGTCAAAGGTCCACAAAGTACCATCACTGTATACCCGATCATATATTCAGGCTTCTCTCACACAGATCTTAATCCTATTATCTCTACAGAAACATCAACTATTATTGCTAACTTCGACACGAGAAACCTGAGTTGTTCCGGGAGCTTAGAAATCACCTGTGTTAACTCCATAATCTATACATTTACTTAATCTACAGTTATACCACTACTTAGTGGCAGGGTAGAATGGAGTCAGTCAGGTCTTTTGACACTTTCCAGAATAGCAGTTTCTTTAGTATGGGTATTACTGCAATTTTTAGATGTAGCTATCTGGTATCTGACATCATCCATCAGTATTAAGCAAAGTCTTCAAAGAAAGTTTCAAATGGCCATCTACTCTGAGCCTCAATTGTAGGGAAGATAACAATACTTTGTAAGGGTAATATATTAAACAGTGATTACAAAACTGACTACTTATGAAACACTTAGCTAGGTATTCTGGAACACGTGAATATGAGTAACAAACAGTTCTTGCCATACTGGAGCTTATAACTTGGAAGCTGTCAATCACTTTGGCCAGAATAAATGAAATATTTCACTGAATGAGAAATAGTGGTACATTACGTCATGATATTCGACAACACTTTGAAGTTCTTCATAATAACCTCTACATCAAGTTGAGATTCCATTAATGACAACTGGCATAGTAAAATCGCACATGGGGAAAAATATCTCTCAATGTGCTAAATCAACATACTTATAATTGATATTGTTTAGAGGTCCTGGTTTTTTGATATAAGTGTAAAGAAATCAGTCATAGTTGCTGTTATTATAATAAAACATGAAATTATCTAAAGACTCCTATCATTTTCTAGCTAGCTCTTGAGTACATTTATTCATTATGATATAGAGGAGAGGTTTCCTTACTTGCAGTCTCGCCATTCATTTCTTCAAGTCCACTGTTAATTCCAACATCTATGGAACTCATGATTTTGTCAATCTGTGAGAAACAAAAACCATATAAATGAACTATGACATTCACTTTTAGCTCGGCATTTTAAAATAACTTCTAAATGCCAAAAGCATATATTCTTGATATTGTTACCACTGCAATGCCATAATTAAGAGAAAGGGTTAAAGGAAGCAGACATCTTTTGCGTTGCTTTTAAAAATATAAATGATGTTTCCCTTTCTTAAACTTTCAAATCCATTTACCTTTTCTTTGTATTTCCTAAAATGAATTTTGTTTAGACCTACATGGGTAAGTTAAGAATTGTGCATTCTTTAAACTATGTAGGGGAAAGGGGCTGAGAAAAAGTTCATGGACGATATCAATCCTCTAGGTCAGCGGTTCTCAACCTGTGGGTCGCGACCCCTTTGGGGGTCGAATGACCCTTTCACAGGGGTCGCCTAAGACCATCGGAAAACAAAAAGATATTTACATGACGATTCATAACAGTAGCAAAATTACAGTTCTAGTGTAGCAACGAAAATAATTTTATGGTTGGGGGTCACCACAACATGAGGAACTGTATTAAGGGGTTGCGGCATTAGGAAGGTTGAGAACCACTGCTCTAGGGCGTGCATCTCATCTGACAGGTAAGGGGTGGGTTTCAGTTTGTGGGCAAGGCCATTGGAACCAAGTTCTTACTAAATGGTTTGACCAGCCACAAGTTGATTTGTGGCATGTAATCACAAGAATGTAGGCATGGAAATAATTTAATTCTAAGAGATAAGTTAAATATTAATTAATCCTGCCTCATCCCAAAAAGGATTTCAGATGTTAGTCACACAGTTAATAAATGTAAGAAACCGACTCGCACAAACTATCAATCCAGTAGTATGAGATTTATAGGAAGAAATGACTGTCTAAGCTTTAACCATTTATGGTTTAATCCCCCTCCTTATCATCTTAGCAATCCTAGCAAGACAGCAGGTTTTAATGTCTCATTTTGTTCACCCAGAAGCAGATGCAGAGAGATTGAGTGATTTTTCCTAAACATCTCAATTCAGAATGTCAATATCAGAACAATTTCCATTTCCAGTTCTCAGAGTACTATAGTGACCTATTGTGTTTCAAAACCCAATCCAACTGGCACAGTCTTTTGAGCGACATGATGTGACACGTTTGAATAAAATGCTAAAGGACAGTATGGTCCATTCTTTGAAGAAATTCAAGAAAAAGCAAGAAACATCCTTATTTTATGATGCAGTCCTCCTTAGGGACAAAGAATAATATTTCACAGCCTTCCAAGGGCACTTACTCTCTGAGTAACTCTGAAATGAAAAACTGTGTCTTTAGGTAAAGTTTAAATTGGCAATACTGGACCCCAAGATGTTATTTTCTTTAATGTCTCTCTGATACTTGTGAAATGGAAATATTAAGTAATTTGTATGTATTGTAAGATTCTAAGATCTTCTGGAAATATAAGATACTTTCAAGAAGGGAGACGAGCTAACAAAGAATTTGGCAAGTGGCAAAATTATACAGAGCAGCAAAAACACAACAATTTTTCTCAATTTGTCAGCTGCAGTGCTCGGGAGGGCATAATGTGAACATTCTCTTGTACCTCATAGCTAGTTATTACTTCTGCTTGATATCAATTTCTATGGAAACACTAGATTTCCCAACATGTGTGGAATTGTTTGTTTTTACACTTGCTGTGAAATCCATAACATCATGTATAATATTACCCCTAGAACCTTTTCCTTCCACTTAGAGCTGTATGTATTTGTTAATTGTTTCTTTTGCCCCTGAAAGACTTACAAAGCTGACAATTCTTTCCCCAAACCTCCCTCAACTCCAAAGCCTTAAATAACGAAGAACAGGCTTACTTCTTCCCATTCAGAAGTGAAGGATGGTGCCCGCTCAGAATTCCCTTTGGAACTGTGTTCAGCAGTTGAAGATTCACTCCAGTTAACTCTTGATGTCTTCTCATTTGAAGGGTAGGTAATGAGATCAGAATCCGATTTAGACACAGTTTTGGATAAGTGCATGTCAATCAAAGCTTTTGGCAATGACCTGATTCTCCCCAGGGTACAGGCTCTCTCCACAAATCCTCCTGTGTTCACAATCCACTGGTCCCCATTCCGGGATCCACTCCTAGTTGTTCTTGTGCCAACAATGGTATGGTTTTCGAGTGGGTTGCTTTTTTTGTGAAAAATTGTCCTACTGACCACTTTGGGTTTAACTTTCTTTACCACAGGTTCCGAGCTATTTTCTATCGGAGACTGTTTGAAAGGCAAAGGACTATTTGACAAAGTGACTTCGGCGTGTCCTTCATGTTCATCCCTTTTTCTGTAGAGATGGAATGGATTTTCAGGGGACTCACAGGCTGGAGAGGATCCGTGAAGAAGGCCTGCAAACTGCCCAGGGTCATATTCTTTCGGGGGATCACTGTCCTCCTGCTGAGAGAGGTCATCTACAAAAGAGAGGAAGGATGTCAGGAAGTCAGGATGCGTGTTTATAAATACTTTCACAGGCCCTGGTACAACAGCAGTGCCCTTCCAAACTTGTGCAATATCCAGACATTTGATTTATTGCTACACAATGATATCCCCATAAACATACAGTGCTGTATATCAAATAAATGTGCACGTGCGTGTACATATATGTGTGTGCATGTGTGTGTGCTCATGCACGAGGGAGGGGGAGAGAGGAGAGAGAGAAAGAGAGAGAGAGAGAGAGAGAGAGAGAGAGAGAGAGAGAGAGAGAGAGAGAGAGAGAGAGCAAGCGCTGGAGAGAGAGAACTGGATCTTTCAGGCACACCTTAGGGTGCATTTCAAAGGTATAAGTTAGGTATTAAGTGAGTAATTGCACACCCCTCTCCCTTGTCCATAGGGCACATGTTTTATATTGGATAACAAAATTGGATTTCCTTAAAGTGAGACACCCACATCCCAACCCTCCCACTGACTGAGTCACTGCTCAGTAGGACATCTGGCAGGTAAATCAAGATCATGCATAATGACATCCCTCTGTCCTTCCCCAGCAAATAAGTTCAAAGCCAAAATCTTGCCAAGTATCATTGGAAGTAATTTAGGGATAATAATCCTAATACTGTTACTTTAAATATGAAATTAAGAATAATTCTACACAGATTATATAATTTAGACAAAAAGAATTTGTTAGGCTTAACATAGGCAAACAATGCAATCCAATATCATTAGAAAGTGAGACTCTTTTACAAGAAGCTGATGTAGAGCTATTAACACAACGCTATCTTTTTCTTTTCTCTCTAAAATACCATTAGTTATTTTTGAGTTTCTTCAGGTCTTAGAAAATGCAATGCAGAAAAGAAACCAAAGAAAAATGATGATTTTTATTTTCATTTTTCTAAGATAAAACACTTTTTCGGAGCTAAAACATAAATGCTCTCTGAGATTTAAAATATGCCATGCTTTTTTATGACCTAATTTGTCTTCTAAAGATATGCTGTGTAAAAACCTGGCCAAAGAACTTAGCAAAGGAAGTCAGTTTCCTTTTTGATTGGTCATTTTAATTCATATAGCTAAATATTTGTCACAATCAAAAATTAAATCACCCAATAAGCCCATAACCTAATCCTGTGAAAAAAAGTCAAATTCTGTGTAGCCAGTGTGGTAACAATGATAAATCCAAAACTGACTTGCTGACTCACACTTTAAAGAAGTTAGTTATTATTTCAAACCCCCAACACCAATGATTTTATAAATGAACAAGTAACAGTTAATAGGAATGTGCTATTTACTAGGCACTGAATTAAGGGCTATATTTACATAATCTCATTTGATCCTCAGACTAGCCTGTGAAATAATTAATAATCATGATTTCCTAATCGATACAGCCAGAATATTGAATTCATATATTTATACAAGTAGGCAACCACAATAGGTATTTGCCCAGAGGATGCTACAGGCAAACTGACTTTTCTTTGTTGAAATTTGGTCCCAGGCCCCTATACCATTCTCTACCTTGGAGCTGATAGAAGCAGGTTTGCTGCTGGCTTTGCATATCCCAGACCGCACCCTGATTCCTGCTTGGCTTTTCCAAACAGACAGTGTCCCCCTGCCCACACCTATCAGAAGGGCATCCTGAGATGAAGGAAAGAAGACTGATAGGAAGAGAGGGCCAAGAGACAATCTAAAAGAGAAATGATTTGCACCCATCCAGTACTATTATAATCACTTTATCTTCCCAAGAAAACTCTGTTTCTTTCTAGTGTAGCAACATTATGTCCTTGATCAAACTCCATTTTGACCTCCCCTCACAACTGAGACCCTTCTTGGAGTAGACTACTGGGTGGAGAGTGAGGGAAGGCAACTATGAGCTCTCTCTAAAGGCTGGAGTTTATGGCCTATTATATACTTTTTTTTTTTTAAGACTTTGTTAGGAGCGTGTGCTCTCACCAGCTGAGCCATCCTGCTACCTGTTGGCAGCTCAGCTTGGGCACAGCTCACTGGCCCATGTGGGAATCAAACCGGCAAACCTGTTGCTCAGAGCTTGTGCTCTTAACAAACTGACCCACTTGGCTGGCCTTTATATACATTTTTTTTTAAAGATTTTTATTGGGTAATTGGGGGGATGGGAACAGTGATGGGGAATTGGGGGAAGGGGAACAGACAAATTGCTGTCGTTTTGTTCTTCAATCTAGTTGTGGAGGACGCTGCTTCACTGGCCCAAGTTGGCACCATCATTGCGCTCTTTCCAGGTGAGGCAGATCAGTCGCCGGCTTCTCCACGGACGCTCACGCTGGCTGCTGGCCGCTCACGCTGGCTGCTGGCCGCTCACGCTGGCTGCTGGCTACATATAGTAGCCCATGGCAACCCACTGCCACAGGGGCTGCAGCCTACGCCGTGGCCAGCGACTCACGGCAGCCCAGCTCCAGGTTGAGCTGTTGTTCAGCATCTTAGCTGTAGAGGGCAGTGTCACTGGCCCTCATATGTGGGATCCGAACCGGGGCCCTCTGGCATCCCAAGCGAGTTCTTAACCATCGCGCCACTCGGCCGGCCCTATATACATTTTTTAAAAGTCAAAATTAACACTGAGATGATTTAAGTTGCTAAAGTTTCCCTAGCTAGTAAGTGGTTAAGCTGAGATTCAAACTAAGGCCCATCAGATTCCCTTACCCATAGACCTGGAAAATATATCACTATTAAGAAAAAAGAATAATCTAGGGTTCAAGGAAAGTTAAGTAGGCTCTTTGTGAGGAGGGACTTGTTTCACGTGTGTATGAATGTTTCTGGAATTTGGGACAAGTGAACTAAAAGCATTTTTATTTCTGCTTCATTTAAGTAAGCTAATACTATGAGGCAATAAAACCAAGTATTTTGTTCCAATTTATTTTCTCTTTGTTCTTTCAAGGCTACTTGGCTCCCCCATAGTGCTTTGCAACATAAGTAGGTTGGTATGGAATGGCAGTAGTAGGTAAATAATGTAAAAGAAGGAATTTTGCAATAAGGGAGTTTAGAATTTTATTTTGAAAGTTGATGAAGAAGGCTACAGAGTTTGAGTTTAAAAGGAAAACTGGAAAGAACCAGCCTATAGTGGGGAAAAGATTTTGTAAATCTCAGTCAAGAGATTTCTGACCATGTTCTCTCTCTTGGTAACGAGAGTTCTAGGGACATATTATTATTTCAAGTTTTCTACGAATATTATTATTAGGTTATCATCCCCTTTGCGGTTTGACCAAAATGACTATACAATCACAACCCGAAAATGTTATCACCTGTCCAAGTCCTCTAGTCATAAGCAGTCACGTCCCTAAGAATTTAGTTAGCTTAGATTAGCTATTAAATAATAGCTTTTAGCATCATGACAGTTAGTAACATTTTTGCTCAGAGATATGAAAAGGCAAACGTTATTCGCTTATTTCAGTGGCCATACTCTAAGGATTACTCGAGTCAAAGACAATGAGAACTTGATATGAAGCCTCCTGAAATGCCTGTTTGACGGATTGATTGCAGTTATGGCCCCAATCTGCAGTGGTTCCCGGTACCCACACTCCACCCTATATCCATTCCTCCCCATGATCTGGATGTGGCCACGTGCCTTGCTTTGGTCAATGAGACAACAACCATGACATAAGCGGAGACTTGAAAAGCACTAGTGCCTTGGGGCTGTTCTCTTGCTGCTCTTGGAATCTACTGTTGTGTGAACCAGCTCAGCCTGGCATGCTGGGTGATGGAATGCTACATTACCCAACTGTCCGAAATTCTAGGCTTTATTCTTTTTCAGGTATGAAGAGGCTAGCAGGTCTGGAGACAACTGCCACTGAAAAGACAGATCGTTATACTCAGATCCCAAGAGGACGGAGCAGGCCATGCCACGAAGGGGTGGGGTAGGAGGGGCCACAGGGAGCACCAGGGTTGGTCAGGAGGCAGAATGAGTGAAGGAAAAGGTGGGTAACAGCCTTTATTGTGGTTTCCATGAGGAGAAATGGGTGAAGCAGAGTGAGCCGAGTTTAGGATTGGCTACTTTGAATCTTTTCAGCTACCCCTAAGGCATAGAGACTGTACCTAGTGGTGGGGTGCCTGGCCATGGTGTGATTAGAGCAAGTGAATGATGGCTCGAATGTGAGAGCCTGTTACAGGATGTTGTTGGGATGTGGTTCTGGATTGGCTGGTTTGCATATGAAAGGTATATTTGCAGGCCAGTTATTTACTATCTCTAAGAATTAGCTAACCCTGGGAGGAGCAGTCCCTCCAGAGTTAGCAAGGTCCCAAGATGTCAAAGCATTAAAAATACATACATACATACATAAATACATAAATATAAAAAGGCGTGGTCAATACACAAGCCACCCCCAATACCTCAGCTGACAGCCAGCAAACTTCCGCACGGTTCTAGGTAGTTTCACCATAAACAGCTTTGCCACAAGTATGTTTGCCGCAAATATTTTCGATGTACAACTAATTGGCCATAAGGCCATTTTGGGGTAAAAGATAAAATAACTAACTAGTTGACAGTTTTGTTTACATTTGGCAAACTTAATGTATTTTGTCAGTTCGGTTTCATTCTCCATTAATGAAGCTCTCACAGTACTCCCATTTTCATATTATATAAATCTTAGCCCTCATAAAGGTCTATATCTTGATGAGTAGACATGGTAGTCTTAAAATAATGGGTGATAATCACATATAAAACCAGACTGCAAAGCAATATGTAAAGCCAGATTAAATATCATGCTAGAACATAACATACCAGTTTTTACAAATCCTTCCGTGAGCGAAATCATCCCTCCCACCTGCTAAAACCAAGTTTACCAAGCTATGGCAAATACTAAAGAGGTGACTATGAATTCACAACAGCCTTCCAGAGCATTAATTATCAATTCTTTAGTTGGAAGCTGATACCCGTTTTAATAAAGGAAGAATTTTAGCAAAAAAGACAAAAAGTACAATGCCAAATGAGGAGGCCAATCAAGAAGAAGAAAAAGTATAA